CCATGACGGCGTTGCGGTCAGACCCCGCTCACCGCCTTTGCTGTCCTAGGAGAGCCGGCTCCCTGCCCTTCACCAGTGGCTTGCTGGGATGTCCCTGTGAAGTCTGTTCTCCTTCTGGCAGGGACGTTTCTCCCGCAGGCGCGGAAGGCGTGAGCACAGGCTGCGTGGGGAGCGGGCGGAGTCGGAGCTGCTGGCTGGCGTCAGCACCGTCAGGTCGTGAGGGTCTCCCCAGCTTCCATCCGAGCGCCTTCAGCCACCTTTAGAGACCAGACCCCCAACCAAAAAAGAGTTAAGGCAGTTGCGAAGAGGCTACTTTTCTCTCTTTTCTTTTTTCGGCACACCCAAACCAGCTGTAATCGGCAGTGGCGCTTTCCGAGAGGGAGAGGTGGGGTGGCGGAGGACTTGGGGTCTGCGGCCGGTGCTGGTGTTCCTCACCGGACTGCGTGTTTCATGGGTGGAGCAGGAAATGGAGCCTGAAATTCTCAGAGGAGACACCTTTACAACCCACCAGAGGCTACTGTGAAACTAGATACTTGCTTTTGACCTTGTGTACCGTTACAAAACCGCCGGTTACCGTTGAAATTAGTGGCCTTACAGAGTTAGACTTGATGTGCGCTGGGACTGACACGTGTTACGTTTGGAGTGAGCAGTTCCAGTCCCCGGCTTCCGCAGCGTGTTTCATGGGTGGCAGTGTTGAAAAACTTTTTTAAAAAAAGGAAAAAAGGAAAGAAAAAAGCTCACTGCTTGTTCACCTGGTGAGGTGTGGGTTTCTGCTGCTCAGCACCACCTGAGGCCCCCGCGGGCTCAGCCCCCCCAGCCTGCCCATCACCCGGCTCCGTTCCGGAGAGCTGATCACGGCTTGTTTTCTTCCAGGGGCCTTTCTGCTGAAAGGGGTGGGAGACACGAGTGCCTGTTTTTACCTGACCCCACAAATTCATTCCAAACCTGGCCTGCGATTGCATGAGTAATAATAACAGTAACAATAATAATAATAATAATATTTATTTTTATTTGAGAAGCACCTTACCAACCAACTGCACTGCTCTGTTGTTCCTTCACTAACTCTCCTTTTCTCTTCCCTTGTTCTCCCTCTCCCCCCTTCGGCCATACTCCTTTTCAGTGCTCGGTGGTGTATGCGTGTGTGCTCACTGTTCTTGTACTCAATAAAAGTGAAATAAATGTGTTTGATGCTAAATCAGCCGGAGGCCTCAGTGACTCTTTCCGACCGGGAGGACGCAGAAGCCAAGGGAGGACCTTGCACCCAG